GTTGAACATTCCGGTTTTTATACTGCTTTTTTTTAATTCACTAACGCTCTAAGAATGAATATTTCAGCCGCAGTAAAGAATCAACGTTGGCGGATTTTGGTTTTTGACATCCTTTACGATCGGTTACGATGCCTAGAGTACGGAGACCTGTACGATTTCGTCAACTTAGTGAGTTTGATAGGGGCCGTATAGTGGGACTTCGGGAAGCTGGACTTTCTTTTCGGGCAATTGCAGTTAGAATGCAAAGAAGTGTAGACACTGTGGTTAGGTGTTGTCAGGCATGGCTTCGAGAAGGCCGTACGCAAAGAGCAAGGGGCACTGGACGCCGCCGTAGAACAACAGACCGTGAAGATCGCCGCCTAAGATTATTGGCCTTAAGGGACCGTTTCTCCACTACCAGGTCCATTGCAAATGAATGGTTTGCAGAACACGGAAGACGTATTGTCATGCGAAGTGTTTACCGACGAATGAGAAGTTTTGGCTTGTTTTCATACCGGCCACACTGGGTCCTCCCTTTAACTCGAAAACACCGACGTAATCGCCTTGAGTGGTGCAGACAACGGTCACTCTGGGATCAGGAATGGAACAGTATTGTCTTTAGTGACGAGTCTCGATTTTGTTTAGGCATGCACTACGGTCGTGCCAGGGTTAGAAGGCGACGTGGTGAAAGGAGGAATCCACAGTTTTTTGTTGAAAGACATGTTCATCACACTGTTGGAGGTATGGTTTGGGGTGCTATAGCTTATGGTTCCAGGTCACCTTAAATCTTCATCAGAGGTAACATGAACGCGTATCGTTATATCCACGAAGTTCTAGAACCCCATCTTTTACCCTATCTTGTCACCCTGGCAGATCCAACTTTCCAACAAGATAATGCCCGACCACATGTTGCAAGAGTCACAATAGACTTCTTTCAACATAAAGATGTCACATTGTTACCATGGCCACCAAGATCTCCCGACTTATCCCCAATTGAGCACGTATGGGATATGATGGGTAGGAGATTGCTCAATTTGCAACGTTCTCCTCAGACTCTAGAAGCACTTCGAGAGGAGTTGGTGGTTGCCTGGAATGAGATACCACAGGAGGACATTGACCACCTGATCAGAAGCATGCCTAGGCGCGTTGGAGAATGCGTAGCACATCAGGGTGCATCCACACATTATTAAAGGTCAAAGGGCTTTAAAGCAGTGCAATCATTTTGAAATTTTTATCATTTACTTATTATGCTTCATTAAGTACTTATATAAAATTTTATTAAAATAAAACCATTTAAACTGGGTGTTCGGATTTATATGTCACTTAGTATACATATACGTATATATATATATATATATATATATATATATACAACAAAATGTCTCCACCTCTCATGAGGCTGCACAAAGTATTATACGAGGTTAATAGTGACGAAGACTTACCTACTTTCAAAAGGACCACATTCCATAGTTTACTCAAAGAACTCCATTTTGAGTATAAAAAACGGGGCAGAAATAGTATTTTGATGGACATTCAAGAGATTATTTTATGGCGAAGAAATTATTTAAATTCAATGAACAAATGCCGCGACCAGCGTAGGAAGATTTATTACTTGGGTGAAACCTGGATGAATGCAGGACATACAAAATATACCGTATGGGCTGACTCTACAATTAAATGAGCAAGACAAGCCTTCTTAGATGGACTAGCTACTGGCCTGAAGAATCCGTCAGGTACGTGTATCTAATCAATACGTCATTTGTGTTGTAAAAATGGTGTCAAGTAGATTGAATCTATGATCCCTCGCTGAAAACATACCTATACTAAACTTAGCTATATCTGGTAGATACTCTTCTGGTATTATTATTAGTTTTCTTGAATACTATATGAAATAATTATTTCCTGGAGAAGAAAACGATTTGTTATCTGTCACATTGGAAGTGAAGATGGCCTCGTGCCAACTATCCTACGGGCATTTGAGTCAAAGAAAAGGAAAGCTTGACGACAATGCCGTCATTGTACTTGATAATGCTACATACCACACTAGAAAATAAGAAAGAATTCCCACAATAACCACAAGAAAGGCAGATATTCAACTCATATCAAAAGACAGTTTCAATATGGTCAAAGCAGAACTTATCCATCTAGTCAGGCAGCAGAAATATAAATATACCTAATCTTAATGTTATTGACGAAATGGCTAAAAACCAAAATAAGACCGTTTTAAGGCTACCCCCTTAACACTGCGAATTAAATCCCATTGAAATGATTTGGGCAAATATAAAAAACTATGTAGCTTCAAACAATTCATTCGGACGATGATTCAAGTACTTTCAGCGAATAAAGAATTGTGAAAAGTATGTGCACTTCTTTTTATAAAAGAAATCATTTATTTTGTTAGATTATTCCAAGACCATTGAGGAAAATACGGAGCTGTACAATCTCGCTTTTGGGCATGTTGTGTTTTGTCTGGGCGTAAATGGACTACGAATGGGGTATAGACCACCTTTGACCCTTTTTGCCGATTACTTAGTAGCAACATTGTACTACTCCACGGGCTATCTGCTGATAGCTGATGTAATAAACCAGCTACATGAGATGTACCTATCGTTAATATTGCACCTACGTGCGTGGTGACAATGCGCAACACAACATGCATGGCAAGAAATCTTCCGAGGCGGAGATTGGAACCCGCGAGCCCCTCGACACGCTGACCACCGACCTACCGATGCTCCCTGGTCTGGTAGTAGTTTGTCTTTATCCAAGTATTGTCTTATCTACATATCCATTAATTACACTGGACAACAAATTTTAGTTTTTTAATTGTATCTTGTGGGAAAAGTGCACTTCTTTGTTAATTTTGGGGCGCTGAATCCAAAACTGACAATGAAATAAAAAAATTAGTTGCGGTTTCAAAAAAAAATTTTTTATTTTTAAGGATATATTAAAAAAAGTAACAAGATTCATATACTTATAAGAATCACTATATGCGCTGTCTTTTTGCTGTTCTTTTATGGATCGTTTTTGGAGCATCTCTACCAAGAGTCCAACAGTAGTCTGCAAGCATGGAAGGATTCCACTTTCCCTGGTACTTTTTTTCCATTGTTGAAATATCCTGATGAGAACGTTCGCCGTGCTCATCACTTACGGCTCCGCAATTGTCAGGAAAAAAGTCCAGGTGTGAGTGTAGGAAATGTATCTTAAGAGACATATTACAGCCCACCTTTTGATACGATGACAGCATACATGTATTTTTGACAAGGGTTTTATAGTTGTCAGCTTTTCTATTTCCCAAGAAATTTGTGACAACCAGACGGAAATCATTCCAAGCAGTTTTTTCAATACCTGTTAGTGTTTTCAAACTGTGTATCTTTCAAAATATTTCGAATCTGTGGCCCAACAAAAATACCTTCTTTAACCTTTGCCTCACTTAGTCTTGGAAATTTCTGACGCAGGTATTGAAAAGCTGACCCATCTCTATCTAATGCCTTGACAAAGTTTTTCATTAGGCCCAACTTGATATGCAGTGGTGGTAATAAAATTTTTTTCGAATCTACTAATGGCCATATGCTGTACATTTTTTTGACCTGGCTCTAGGAATTGACGAACAGGCCAGTTTTGTCTGGTGTAATGAAGTGCCTTTGCCCGACTGTCCCATTCACACAAAAAACAGCAAAACTTTGTGTAGCCTAGCTGCAGCCCAAGTAAAAGTGCAACAACTTTCAAATCGCCACAAATATGCCATTGGTGCTCATCGTATTTTATGCATGTCAATAGGTACTTCATATTGTCATATGATTCTTTCATGGGAACTGCATACCCTACAGGAAGAGATCGTAAAATATTTCCAATATGCAATAACACTGCCTTTAAACTCAATGTTGAACTGTCTATAAACAATCTCCATTCTTCTGGGTTATAGTTTATATTTAAAGCCGCCAGTAAGCCGTTAATGTTACTGCAGAAAACCAAGTTATTCTCCATATTGAAAAATGGTTCTAAGTCTTTGTGGCGTTTACGAAAAACACATACCGAAACATCGTCTTCTAACAAGTTCCACTGCTGCAGTCTTGATCCAAGTAACTCTGCCTTACATTTTGGAAGTTCTAAATCTCTTACAAGATCATTTAATTCTGACTGTGTTATTTTGTGCGGTTGGTGGCATGACGTGCTCGGTATAAAATCAGGATCTCTTGACGTTGATGGCATATCTTCTTCCTGACGAATCACTCGATCGCCATGATCTGATTCGTTTTCTGATTCGCAAGTGTAGGATTCTGGGGGTTTTGGAATAGGATTTTCGTCACTGTGAGGCACAGGTCTCATCGCAGATGGTATGTTTGGATAGTTAATAACAGATTTTTTTTTCTTGGACATACCTGTGGCTTGTCCAACACAAGGTACCATGCAAAAGTAACAATCATTAATATGATTTGTAGGCTCTCTCCAAACCATTGGGACAGCAAAGCGCATAGACCGTTTTTTGCCATTTACCCAGCTCCTCAGACTTGAAGCACATGTATTACAGCAGATGTGGGGTGGCCACTGTTTGTCTTGATCACCTAGTTTACAACCGAAATAAAGCTGATATGCCTTTGTTATTAGTGGAGTAATAGACCGTCTCTGAGACGCAAAAGTCACATCACCACACACGTAACAAAACTGATCTGGATTGTTTACACACTTTCGAGACATCTTGCATGAACCCTGTCAGCCAACTGAGGAAAAAATGGCTAATATAAAACAATATAATGTACACGTATGTATAACGTAACACAATCATGCCGATTACATCATCTTTCCTTGCCGAATATAAAAATGTAGCACGTGCATTCTTGTGAATTACAGTATATTAACACTGTCACAGCAGGAACACATATAATTACCGTATCTCTAAAACTTGAACTAATATTGAAAAAATAAGTTTCATTCCGGTTTTAGCACATTAAAAATAGTAATATTTTGTTGATTTTATTTAGGATATTTTTTGGCTGTTGATCAGTCTTATTAAGTATACTTACATACATCCTTTAGGAACAGTCATGTTTAGTCCATCGAGGATGATGTAAGGGTTACTTTTGGTCCCGTATCGTTTGTAGGCCCTTCTGACGCATACTGCCTGCTGTCTTCTGGTGTGCACTGTGGACATTTGCCCTTTGAACTGCCGTCGCCGTAGCTCCAGGTCTGTCGGTAGCTCTGGCATCTTAGGTCTCGATTATGGCAAGTCTGGAAGAAAAAAAGGGCGTCAAGTAGATCGACTTTATACTTCCACGCAATGCTGTCATCAGTTCATGAAGGACTATGTTCAGCACAAGTTGGACACTATCAAAATAGGGCAGCGTCATAGACATTATATCCTGGATAGAGCATAGTTGGTATGCTTTCGTTCGTTGTCCCAGAGACCAAGCCTAGACCGTGCTGATGAGTTGTCAAAAAATCACGAGACAGGTATCCATGGGTTAGCTGTCTTTGCTTGGACGGACGAAAACATTATGCTGACGATAGACCCTCTGAAAAAAAAGTTAGTTACGGATATGTACAACAGAGAAATTAAACGGCTCAGGTCAATCAAACAGGCGCATATAATTAGCCCATAGACATTCTGTTCCTGCCTCTGTTTCTCTCCGATACCTTATCGTACGATGCGGCATCGCGCTAGATGCTAGGCCACTTATGAAAACGGGGACGCTTGCCGGTGTACGCAGAGAGCAGAAGTAGGGACGCGTATAGAGCATATTTTTCAATCGTTCTAAGTTTTAAGGGAAAATGTTGAGGGCAATCTATGGTGCATGACATATGTCTAATATATGTAGAATTATCGGGGTTGGAAGTGCATTAATATACTAACATCAAACAATTGCGATACAACCTCCACCACCCCCCAATTTTTACCCCTAACATTCTCCGGATTTTTATTTTATTCGTTTTTGGACTTTTTCTCCGTCGCCATTGGACAAATATATCATTTTCCAAATTTTTCCTTATTGGTGGCATTTGAAGCTGACTCAATTTTTGGAGTTTAACAGTATATGATACAAAATTGGCGGGACATTGGAAACATATGTGTTTTGAAATAAAAGCCTTATCGAGAAGCCGTTAACGGATAAACATATTTTTCAAAAATTAACAGCTGGTTCTTGATAATATTTTTTCAGTCATACAATATAAGATAAATCTGAAAAACCAGTTGAATACAACGACTAAGAATGTTGTTTGATGGAGGAGGAAATAACATCCGTCATAATTTTGATGTTTTTGCTCATAAATCGCCAAGCATACAATCACGCACAATACGCTTAACAACTTAAATCAGGCTGTACGTAGAATGTAGGTCCTTAGTCCCAATGCGGAGCAGTCTAATATAACAGAAATTATGTGTTGGTTTACCAGATTTTTTGCGGAATGTTTCAAAAATATCCAATTTTTAAACATTTCTTTCTTTATGAAATGAAATAACACTGGAAAACAAAAAATACGACAGAAACCATGTAATTTCTAGCTGTCGAGCTATATATTTGGATGTCTTGGATGGAGGTAACGTTTTATTGTATTTCAAGTTTCATATGATCAGTGTTTAATATATAAATTTGTTTTTGAAGAAAATTGAAACCATACAGGAAAGATCCAAATAGCTGACTTCATTCAAACCTCGGGCTATGAAAATTCATTTTTTGTTCAAAGTAGCTCTTACTTATTTGGATACCCGTTGCAATTGAAAAGAGAAAGGATTCCTTTTATGTCTGGCGAACTAGAACTAAAAAAAAAAATGTTGCCACTTACATGTCACTCGTGATTATTTAATTGCATAATGACTTGGAAAAAATTAAACTGTGTTAATATCCAATATGAATCACCATACTTATTGAAATAAAATAAATGAAAAAAATGTATTAAAGAACAAGGTTAATGTCACTTTATAGCTGTTGCTAAATTACTGATTGATGGGAAAATAAAGCATATGTAGAACTTTTTTTTAATAATATAGACCATTTTTGAAAAAATAAAGGTAGTTTTGCATATATCTTACAGCTCCTTTTTTCCGGAGTAAATCCGTTGTCTGGAATTTTACGACTAATTTTAGTGGAATGGTTAAAAAAAATACATTTTCTCAACAGTATTAATGTTGACTGTCAATTTCGCATAAATAATGAGAGCATTCAAGTCGGTTTCTTCTTTAAACGAATAAAGTATGAGTATATCTATTAGCGTAACTAGTGCTTTTTTTGTCTTCAGATAAATTGATCAAAGACCCAGCATTGATATGAAATTCATAAATATAAAATTTGTTAAATTAATTACGAAAGAGCACTTAATTGATCTTGCTAGGAATTCAGCTTTAAGTTACTAGTTCTTTGTCAGCATATCAATTCTTAAAAACAAAAATGAATCATAATACTACTTAGGGTCAAAATAAATATTAAATGTTTTTTGAGGGCGAGTCCTGATTATTGAAAAGCATTGCTTTTATACCTTCAGATTTCTTTATCATACTATAGTTTAATCAACGTTATTATTTTGTCCTGTACTATAAAATGTCCAGCGTTGAGCTAGTTTTAAGGGATTTGAATTTTCCAAGCCATACATACCACTGTGTGCGATCTTATAATGATGAACGCGCCTAGACGTTTTTCCAAAATTCATAAACTGTTACTGTTTTGTTTTTTATAGTATTTTGTAACTGACATCAGGGACTGGAAAGTGTCTCTAACACCCTCTCTATCGGATCACAGGTATATACTGTTCAAGACTGATGGAGAGATTCCGGATAAATATGCTCGGAATCCCAGGCACACTAGATGGGGGTCCTTTAGGGCAGACATTGACAGTAAGCTTGGAGCGGTCCCATACAGGCTTGGCAGGGGCTCTGACATAGAAGCAGCTGTCGAGTCTCTGAGCAGGGACTTGACGGCTGCATATGAGGAAAACTGCCCGTTACGCAAAGTCCAAGGTAAGGGCAAGGCAACCTTCTGGACCAAAGATTTAGAGGATAGAAAACGAGCGGTGCACAAACTTCTTAGCAGAGTTAAGCACAGGAGAGGTTCTCCTCTATGGGAAGAATACAAAAAGGCATTGCAGGAGTACAAAAAGGAGATTAGAAGGGCCTCCAGAGAATCCTGGAGGCACTTCTGTCAGTCCATAAATAACATTCCTGCTACTGCAAGAATACACAGAGTCCTATGCAAAGACATTAAAGCAAGATTGGGATCTCTGCATGATCCCTCGGGGGGGAATACTACTTCTGAGGAAGATACTCTGAGGCATCTGATGGATACGCACTTTCCCGGTTCCACAGTAGCGCGATCAATCAGAGAGTGCATGCAGTTGCGCAGGCCCTCAAGGTAGGACTGGCGCACGGCTAGGGAGATTGTCACCTTCGAAAGGACGGTATGGGCAGTAGATTCGTTTGCCCCATACAAAAGTCCAGGTCTGGACGGCGTATTTCCGGCCGGGACGGATTTCGGTTGTTCCTTACCTGTTGAATGTGTTTCGAGCATGTGTGGCCACGGGCTTCACACCTAGAAGCTGGCGGCAGGCTAAAGTGGTATTCATTCCTAAACCGGGCAGAGATAGGTATACTGGCCCGAAGGATTTTCGACCGATTACTCTTTCATCTTTTGTGCTTAAGACCCTGGAAAGGATAGTTGATAGATACCTAAGGGATGGCCCGCTGGAAAGGTGTGTCATTCATGCAAATCAGTTTGCATACCAAGCTGGAAAATCGACTGATCTGGCCTTACACAATCTGGTCGGGAGGCTGGAGAAGACTCTAGATCAGCGAGAAGTGGCACTCGTGGCCTTCTTGGACATTGAAGGTGCATTTAATTGCACCACAACCGACTCTATCAGACAGGCCTTGGTTAGACACGGGGTTGGATCAATCCTAATAGATTGGGTCCTCTCTACTCTGGAGGGTCGGGTAACAACAGCTATGCTGAATAACGTAAGCTGCAGCGTGAACGTAGCTAGAGGCTGCCCTCAGGGCGGAGTTCTGTCACCCCTACTGTGGTGTATCGTGGTGAACGAACTCCTCGTTAGGCTCAGCAGTATGGGTGTCTATGCGCAAGACTATGCTGATGACGTAAGCATAGTGGTTAGGGGGCGTTTCTGTAGAACAGTCTCGGAAATTATGCAGGGCGCTCTGCGCTCCGTGGAATCGTGTTGTAAGGAAGTCGATCTTTCTGTTAATGCTGAAAAGACCGAGCTGATCCTATTCACTAGGAGAAGAAGGCTTGACGGACTGGTCATGCCGACCTTCTTTGGGACTAGATTAGTTTTGTCCCAGTCAGTGAAATATCTGGGAATTTTCCTGGACTGCAAACTGAACTGGAGAGAGCATGTGGAACACAAGGTTAGCAAGGCTCGCAATTCGATGTGGGCTTGTAGACGTGTTGTCGGTGTAAGGTGGGGGCTTAAACCCAAAGTGGTATACTGGCTCTACACGACGATAGTACGTCCATCTCTCTTGTACGGCTCCCTGGTCTGGTGGCCTTGCATTAGAACTGAGTCAACTAAGGCCAAACTCAATAAAATTCAGCGTTTGGCCTGTATTAGCATTACAAGCGCAGTGCGAACAACGCCATTGAGTGCAATGGAAGCTCTGTTGGATCTCCCACCGTTGGATCTGGTGATCCGCGGTGAAGCGAGAGTAGTCGCTCATCGACTGTGGAGTCAGGGCAGCTGGGCTTTCTTGAATCCGGTCAAGGGGCATACTGCCATCTTAGTCGAATTAGAAAGGGAGGACCCCGTCCTTCTAAGCAGGGGTGATCGTATTACCCCTAAATATCGCTTCAACCGCAAGTTTATTGTGGAGTATCCAACGAGGGAGGAGTGGGACGCCGGTAGCCGAGGACTCTCCGAAGTGAGCGGGCAGGTCTGGTACACGGACGGCTCGGTCACCGAAGAGGGCTCAGGTGCTGGGGTCTCTGGGCCTAGAACTAGGCTATCTCTGCCTCTCGGTGACTACACCACCATTTTCCAGGAAATCTTTGCGATTTTGGCTTGTGTATCTCACATTCTGGAGGAGGGTGGGCCTAGGAGAAGAATAACAATCTTATCCGACAGCCAGGCTGCAATGAAAGCACTAAGTGCCTGTAAGATTACTTCGAGTCTTGTATACGTATTGCAATGCAGGGAGGCTCTGGATTGCCTCGCAGCGAGGCATCCGGTATCGTTAATATGGGTACCGGGGCACGCTGGGATAAGGGGCAATGAGACGGCGGACACTC